CTCCACGCTCACAGACTTGGTTCCGACGACGCGTAAACGCCAAGACGACCGCTGTTTGGGGGTTAACATCGCTTAGACAATTTCTGAATTGGATGAGCCCAGCACGAGCAGTGGTATCGAGTCTATCACCGAATCTGCTGAACATTATTCAGCGGAGTCCGTGTCAATGCCTCCTTCCAAATCAGTTGAAACAGGGGTCGAACAACAAAACTGCGATGGAACATCTACTCTGCCATCACTGTCTTGTATCCTCAGAGTATCACACCCCCTAGGTGGTGACAGACCATCAAAAAGCACGAACGAAATCTGCATAGAGCAATGTCTCCTTATTTAGAGCTCCCTGAATCAAACGCCAACATTTCCAGGGAGTGGATTTTGGAAGATCTAGCGCTCTGGCAGGGCCTTTTTAAGAACATTTTGGATAGGAATGAGGAAATCGAAGTGCTCAAAGCCTTCCGTCTAATAAAGCGGGCATAAAAATCTATTAGCAACGACAGGCCCCTGACCTCTCCATGTTGTGCTGGTCTGTAATGCACAAGCCGGGTTGGTTCCCTGTCGAAGCTTTAAAATAAAACGTTCCAATCACGGCGTCTTTTCAACTGAATTACTCACCAACAGAGAGGTTGGAACGTCGACTTCTCGTTGTAGAGCTGAGGATGAGGTTCGTCGAAGGAGAACGCAATTTAGTTATCTACGACAGTCAAGGCGGGCAGCTGGCACGATGCGGATGATCGCGCAGCCGACACAGTAGACGAATCTTCAATTCGCAGCTCTTTGGCGGCCATAAATCGCAAACTCATATTCCTGTGTACAAATGTGAAGAGCATGTTATTGAAAGTTGACTAGCTAGAGATCCATCTCTCTGATCCATCCCCAGATGTAATCTCACTGAAAGAAATTTGGCTGAATCAACACGTGGACGACCGTGAGTTAAGAAATCTGGGATACCAGCGGTTAAGAAGAGACAGGCTAGGACGTCAGAGAGGAGGCGCACTCACGAATGTAGACCATGGACTTAAGGTTTCAGACAAAACAGTTAAATATGCGTGTACATCCGAGGCAAGCTGGCTAACTATGAAAGCACCGGTTTCACCAAGTCTTGGCGTCCTGACAGTCTACCGATGACGGAGAAATAATTCCAGGGCTCCGCGTTTGTTTTAGGTCGGCACCTGCTCCATATCGAGCATTCTGCTACTCCCATTTTGTAGATGACTCAAAAGCCGCGATTTTTCATCTCCTAACGTCTTCCGAGATTTTTCTTTTGGCATAGTATACTTTTCCTTCTGTACAGTGCTTCTAAAGCTCACATTATTGTACGGGCGAAGAAGAAGAAGAAGGGTGGTTGAGCACCGGAACACTTTGCTTTTTTTTTCTGAGCTTTCGAACTCGTGCAGGAGTCCATCATCGAAGATAGTAGCGGCAACGGCAGCAGCAGTAGTAGCAGCAGAAACAGCGACAGTTATAGGGCGTGTTAACCAATCATCGATTGATGACGCAAGACTGTAGGTGATTGAGTAGTGCTCTGTACGCCGAAGTCCAGGCTTCAGTCATTTTTCAACCTGTTTTTTTTCCGGCCTGGGCGATTATCTTGGTGACTGCGAACTCAAAATCATGACCCACATCGTAGACGTGGGATCCCACACAGTGGGAATGCCAGTGAGGCCACATTAAGAAGGAGCCATTGTAGCCTGACTCTCAGACCTCCAGCCGAGCACTCCATAGCTGCGGCACACACAACACTTGGCCGACTGAGTGATACAAGTTATCCCGTCAGTTGGCAACCTTCCAAGCCACGACTTTTAGCGCACCGTGATAATTTCAAGCGCGTCAGATTGTTTATAGTGAGGAAAGTGCGCTGAGTCGTCGAACTCACTCTCCCTCCTCATTCCCAGGCCTAAGCCACTGTCCGAGCCGGTCAGTTGACTGGAGCGGAGAATGGGCGCGGTGTCTGACATGGCCTACTGAACCTGTCTGCGTGCGCCACATGCACGATCTGGCTCCCCAAACACATACATCAGGATTTCACTCAACGAGGGTTTAGCGACGTATCTCTCATATGCGTGCGAGTGCCGTGGAAGGTGCTGCTTCGTCCGTCGCCTAGCCCACCAGTCCGCCACTCCACACAAACACACACAACTAGACGGACTGCGTGGACCGAATGGGTGCGTCAATCAGCAGCCTTCCTATCCACGACGCTTGACGCGTTGGGGTAAACTCAGACTCGAGTCACACATGCAAGAGGAGACGCGTCGACACAGAGTCGAGACGCAAACTTCCCACTTGCGTGGGAGGTGAGAGTTGGGTGCTTGCGGTGGGCGATGTTAATGTGTGGTGGGATGGTTTTGAGGGAGAGAGGGTGGGATGGGGTGGTGCAGCCGGCGGTTGTCAACCGCAGGTTTTCGCGGATGTGCATGTGGTCTAATAGACCAATGCGATGAGTAAATGTTCGAGTGCAATGTGTACAATTGAGGGGGATGCGGCGAGTGTAGGTTGGTGCACAAGGCACTGGTTCGCCAGTCTCTGCGCGATGGATTCCCAAGTGACCGACCAAGCCGATGTGTGAGGTGAAGATGCGGTCACCATTAGGACATGTATAGACCAGGTCTGCATCGCTGGCGTTGGTGCTTGTTGGTATGTCAGGATTGTGCGTAGTGTTGATGGGCACGTCAGAGGCCACAGCGGTAAACGTTGAGGCAGTGGTTCTGATGGAGGAGAATGAGGAGGAGATGGCAGTGGTTGTTCAGGAGGAAGGTCAACGTTAGTTGACGGCGTGGGTATCGAGGGAGAGGTGGATGGCTAGACGACGTTTGGTGCAGTCCGGGCGCTGCGGTTGGTCCGGAGGTGTCCAGCAAGTCCAATTGGCGCCAGGAATGTCCGTTAACATCGCAGACACGTCGGAGGCGGTTGAGCGTTGGCGTTGTGAGGCGGCGGCAGTGGCTTCGGCAGTTGAACTTTGCGAAGATTGCTGCGCCCGTCTTCATTGTGTCTTCCCACGTAGGTCGGTCCCGGGAGAGGTCTTTCCAGTTTGCCCCGTTGATATGCAGGTACTTCAGGGAGGTTTTCAGAGCACACTTGTAGTGCCGGACTTGACCTCCTTGTCGGCGTGAACCCATCGCGCCATCTCCATAAGAGATTCGTTTGGGTAGCCTCTCGTCGTCCATCCGCATGCGGTGGCCGCTCCAGCGTATTTGTAGTTGTCTCAGCATATCGTAGATGCTGAGTATTCCCTTCCGCTCCAGTACGTCCGTGTCTAGGATCCGATCCTGCCACCTCAGTTTCAGTATACGATGAAGACAACTGAGGTGGAAGTGGTTGAGTCTGCTTGCCTGCCTCATGTACACCGTTCAAGTCTCCGCTCCACACAGTAACGCCGGTAGGATGACGGTCTTGTACATTTTCAGTTTTCTGCTGATTTGAAGATCGTAACGATTCCAAAGTGTGTTTTAAAGACGACCGAATATTTGACTGGTCTTGAAAACCCGGCGGGCCACTTCATCGTCGATTTTGGTGCTGCAGGAGAGGGTGGTGCCCAGATACGTGAAGTCGTCCATCACTTGCAGGCGGGTCCCGCTCACGCTGATTTGCGGCGCATTGTGGGCAGTGCTGTGTAGGGGTTGATGCATAACCACCGTCTTCTCCGTGTTGATGATCAGACCGATCTTCAAGAAGGCATCGGAGAAGAGCTACATGCTCCTTTTTATGTCTCATTCAGTATTTGCATTGAGGGCGCAGTCGTCGGCGAAAAGAAGTTCGTGGACGGTTGTTGTTAATACACGCTACTGGAAGTGCATATGTCGCCGATTGAGGAGGTGGCCGTCCGTCCAGTAGGCGATGCGGAGCCCAAGGCGTTCATCAGAATAGGCGTCCATCAGCATGGCAGAAAACATGAGAAAGAAGAGGGTAAGCGAGAGGACGCAGCCCTGATTCACTTCGTTGGTCACTGCCCATGCCTCCGAGACAGCTCCATTGTCCGTGACGCGCGCCATCATGCCATCGTGGAGCCGACGTACCATCTGAGTGAATTATTAGGGACAGCCGAATTTCTGCATGATTTTTCACAGTTCTTCGCGATTCACCGTGTTTAAGGCTTTCGTCAGATCCACGAAGTTAGAGTGCAAGTGAGTCCACATCTCCTGACACCTTCAGCAGCTGACGGGCGACGAAGTTCATATACGCGGTTGCACGATGATGGCGGAAGCCGCACAGGCTTTCCGGCAGCAGACCTAGTTTTAGGTGCTTATTTAGATAATTGAGAAGGATGCGAGTGATGATCTTCCTGGCAATGTTCAGCAGATAAAGGCCTCGATAGTTGCCACAGAGTTGGCAGCTCCCCTTCTGCTGTGGCGTACTTGAAATCCTGCCGGACTGATCCTTGAGGCCACATCTCCTGAAAGAGCGCAGTCACATGAGCGACCGCTCTAGAAGAATGTGCGACTGGCACAAATCTCCTCCAGTTGGCCTTGTTCAGAGAACCGGGTCTCGCTGACTGCAGCAATGTCTGCCTTGTAACGCGTCACTTCCCGAGCGAGATGCGCATTCCTCCGTTTCGATCGGTTGTTCCTCGGATCGTCTGAAAGGGAACGAACATTCCAGGCGGACAGTGTGATCGGACTCATCCTATCAGTCTGGCGAGTGGGGCGGTAGGGAGGAGGTGGGGGAAGAGAGAGAGAGTGCGTTGTCTCGATGTTGATGGCTTCGACCGTGTGTTTTGCTTCTGCGACCATGGTAAGCCTGCAGACGGCATGGTTCCCCAGCATTTGTTTGGGGCAAATTTTGTGGCCTCATCGAAACGTGGGGACCGCACTCTCACGCATGTGAGAGGTGAGCCGCTCATCCTCCGTTGTGTGTAATCCTGATGCTCGTGATTTTTGTGCCAGGTCGTGCATGTGACACGCGCAGACAAGGTCACTACAACATGTTAGCCACCGCGCCCATTCTCTGCTCCAGTCAACTGACTGGCTGGGACAGTGGCTTAGGCCTGGGAATGGGAAGGGAGAGTGAGGTCGACGACTCAGCGCATTTTCCTCACTATAAACAAACTGACACGCTTGAAACTATCACGGTGCGCTAAAAGCTTTGACTTGGAAGGTTACCAACTGACGGGATAATTTGGATCTCGCAATCGGTCCAGTGTTGTGTGTGCTGCAGTTACGGAGTGGTCGGCTGGATTTCTAAGATTCAGGCTACAATGGCTCCTTCTTGGTGTGGCCTTTTTGGGACTCCTACTGTGTGAGATCTGAGCCGGACGTTGGCGACACGTCTAGGTGCGGCTCCGCCGTCTCCGGTCTTCTTGACTCTGTCTTGATATCGGATCCAGTTGTGGGAGAAGAGAGTGCGGCAGATGTTGTGCAAGTCGGATATCAGTATAAACTAAATTTCCGCACGTCATCCTCCCTGCTCCCACCCTGCTGTGGAGAATACGGGGGACATCGTCGAATGCGACGGTCGAACTGGCGTGTGTATAGTGGCGGAATGGTTGGCTGATAGTCAGGCTGCTAAAGCTTCTTTTTAACATGGCACTCTCACGCATGTGAGGTGTTTGTTAGCATGTGTTTATGTTGCTCACTAAAACGGATCAGGCGCTGGACCAACACGGGAGACATATCGGATTCTGGCAGGCATTATCGGGAATGTACGTGGTGGTAGGTCCAGTTGCTGGCCCAAATCGCGCCAGTTGTAATCCCTGCCGCCTCCCCCCCTACCTTTTTGTTGTTGGTTAAAATCCTGATCAAGTGTTTATTGTGGACCAGGGGGTGTGAAGTGTTACGACTAGGGGTGGGTTCGGCTGCGCCGCAGAGGTTAGAGGCTGAAATATGTGTGTAATAAGCCTTTCTATCCTAATTAATCTTGCAAATTTACCACTTCACATTGAAGGCGAACCCTTTATGTGAACTTGCACGTGATACACACTGAACCTGAGCTGGCGCTGAAAGTAGAAACCGTGGCCAACCGAAAGCTTCTTGTATTTTATCTTTTTTGGACAGAAGTCCACCTTATTTTTTTTCCTCATTTGCCACAAACAGAATTCCGAACAAGACAAATACAGTTTCAGTTATCTTAGTTAGTACTAATTTCTTACTACAATATTCAACTGAAATAGCTCATTGGATGCGAATTATACAAGTCCTAAATAAGCACTAATGATAAATTAGGAAGTGGATGGATACATGTTCACGCCGTTCTGAAATCTTGGTCAAACGTTCATTCTCTTCTCGGAGTGAAGTGGCGAGTTATCGGCATTTGCAAAGGCACGTGATCCCTTACGGCCATTTCAAACGGGATCGATCGGACCAACATTTGAACAACTGGTTGGGATACCTAAGGCTGTGTCAACCTGCAGAGAAGATGAGGAGTGATTATTTCAAGGAAGAATCGTCTTCGTGGACTCGCAGAAGACGTACGTATTTCCTATCCAATCGATTGTGTATATTTCATACTGGTTGGTGTTTATTCGGATTTGTGCTTCCTGAGGGCTTCATAGGTTGACGCAACTTTCTTCAATCCAACCCCTAATTAGCATGCTGAATTGTGCACATTTAAGTGAAGTATAATGTTTTGGGTTTTTAATGAGCTTGTCCAAAATTAGGGCTGTTCATCTTTGACCTGCTTTCTCCAAACCATTCTAATACGCATTCATACGTTGCATGATAGGAAGTGACGACCCAGCACCTCTGCTAACTTATTAATTCTTAGTAGAACATGTTCCATGTGCTAAGTTGAAAGCTTTTCTGTGCAATCATTTGCTCAGTTTTAAAGAGATGCAGCCTGGTGTGCGGTCGAGAAAAATAGTGCATATTAATAAAAGGCGTATATTAATGACAAGTGCGATGAGACATAACTCAGCCACCTGTACAGTGGTTTCTCCAAAATGGAAGTAAAGGCAGAGGTAGGTTAATAAAACGTGGAAGCGCTAACTGCTTCAGTGACACTTACTAATTACGAGAAGGAATTGGCCACTTTAATTGAAGTAACGAAACCACGGGACAGCGCGCTTACCACTGAAAGGTCCATGGGTGTCCTGCAGGGCAGTGATTGTAAACGAACGTTGTAAATCTTCCCGTCGATAATGCTGCACTTTAAACTCTCGAAAAAAAGCCTCTTCAGAGAGTGCGTCATTCGTCGAAATTCAACTCTTGCAACCTACGCGGAGGCAATGAGATCGGACGAGATGACTGCTATTTCTTGTACTGTTTCGACCGTATTATTTCGTCATCTAGCCACTGTCAGCGTTCCGACGGAGGATTTACCAGTAACTTTTAGGGCGCGATTCCCAGCTGCTACAAGCTCGAGAGATTAAGCGCTGCCACACAGTGACATAATGGAATTGAGTGCAATTACAAATTCTTTCGCGTACGCCAGAATATGTAAGCGGGGTAGCAGATTAGGCTTTTGTCAGAAAAGGTGCCCTGGTGAAAGAAAGCGGTTAAGTAAAATGCAATTTACAAATTCGAAGATCATAGTGAACATGCACAATGTAAATCCGATTTGCAGAAAGAACAATGAAAAACAGCAGAGCAGAGGAGAACATGAAATGGTCAAATCAACATCCCTCGAGAAAGAGCACAGTGACAGAAATAACAGTATGGGTCGAACCCCCGAATGTGCGGGTCGACTTCGCCCCATCACATCCCTCAACATATTCCCCCAAGGCTCCGCATTCCTCAACAAAGGCACGTTGGTCGGACGTCGAGGACATCCTTGAGGTTACACCACTGCCGATGGAGAAGACGGCGACACCCACACCCACCCATGCCTCTCCACACTCCCCCTCTGCTCCGCGATCTTCAACGAAGGCACGTTGGTCGGGCATCGAGGACATCCTTGAGGT